ATTATTATTATTATTATTATCATTATTATTATTATTATTATTATTAGTGTCTGCTGTCTTTGTAACTGTCTGTCCAACCCTGAATGAGTCCCAATCACACCTGTGTATCCTTTTGTGTTCTTTCACCTTTCTGGATCAACCCTGCCCGTTTTACACTAAGAACTACTAAGTACCTTTTTTTCACCTGTTTATTTTGTGCATAAGTCTGGAATCAGGTTATTCCAGTGGTCCCATCATTCATCCAGTGATTCTCCAGTGGAGACTCACTGGGGTTGGCTCAACTTCAACTTCACCGAGCAGAACAAGAGCTTGTGTTGTTAATAGCAGTATAACACAGAGTCTGTGCAGGTGATGGGAAACTGTAGCAGGATGATATTTAAGTGTGGTTACACGTCCACCATAACATTTTCTTTCATTACTGGTGTTGTCTTTCCCTCTCTTTTCTCTTTAAATGAGAAAACAAAACATTAAATCTTCTAGTTTTAAGAGTGTGGAAATGTATTTCATTTGTACTATAAAAGTGTGACATGGGTTTCTCTCAGTGTGCGGTCTACAAGCATGCTTTCATACTCAATATCCACTATTTCTGGCAATGCATCTTTGAGAACTGTTGGTGAGGAAGCTAGGCATCAGCATTTCATGCACTCTGAAAAAATGCCTTTGAATTCTAAGTGCTGTAGTCTAAAACCATATTTAGCCAATCAAATACAGTCCACCAACTGCCAATAAAGATGACCGTTTAATGTAAGAAGAATGGCGTTGGAAACCCAGAGGAAACCATGGAAAGGAAATGAGATTCTAACCCAGCACCTTGTTGCCCGCTGCATCACACTGCTGCTACATTTCCTGACCCGTGTGCGCTGCTGTTTCTATTCTCTGCAGGTTATGAAAAATGCAACTGAATAAAAATGAAGAAGACCTTTTCTGTTTTGAGCTGCTTCTCCACCAGCTTAGGGATCATGGCGTAGTGATCAGGCATCCATGGCAGTGACACATTCATGTACTCCATATCTTTGGTCTGGAATACATTCTTCACACCTGCAGAGGAAATGTGGCAAAATGTTGTTTTCTTTTCTGCATTTCTATGCTTCAGTGAATGTGTGGAAGGTGGTCTTTATGTTATTTACACTCAGCGAGATGAGTGGCTGATGAATACATAGATGAGATTAAAAAGAATTACACAGGACTGGAACTGATTTCTTTAGGTAAGGATGCCTAGAAGCTTACATTGTGCATAAAAGCATCGTGGCTCCATAAGCAGCTGCAATGCTGAACATAAGCAGTAAAAAACAAATTGCCTTTGGTTGCAGTAAGAAACACCAGAGGAGATCTGTTTTCACTGTGGACTCTGTGGGCAATGTGTAAGTGCTGTGGAATGTATAGTAGGATTTGTGTCTGTGTGTGTGTTCCTGCTTGGCACACTTGTGCAAACAGCTTATTGCCTGTATGGATTTATATTTACATTTATCAAGTGTGACATATTTATTAGGAGGCTGTAAACGAAAGGCTATAATACTATACACTGCACTATACATGATTTGATTTGGTTTATTTGTTTTTCTAAAATACAGAAAATTCTAATACGAAGTTGCTGTTTTGTTTTTGTAATTTTGGGGAATCGTCCTCCACATCTGGAATGTGACATCAGCTAAACATATAACATATAGCTTTTATTAAAAAGGACTTGTACTATTATTTATCATATTTAAAGGGCTAACATTTACTCTGACCAGCAGAGAAAGTAAAGAGGACCGTGTGGAGTGGAAAAGGGGGACTTATATCCAAATAATTTGGCCTTTGACAACAGACTTGTCTGCTTAATTTTGCAAAGCTTTACATTTACATCGGTTTTGTCAAAAAATAAATAAATCACATTTAAATGTGTACGTCACTCACCAAGTACATCCAGGTCCACTTTAAAATGAATGAAGTGCGTGTGAATGTTGCCCAGGACATTTTCAGCCACCTGGTGTCCGTGTGTTTTACTCCCGGGAAGCAGGTAGGAAGAGGAGATGTAGCCGGTTGCGTGAACTTTGACCTCCACTGATCCGCTCTGGTAGAAGATGAAATCCCACATGTAGTCATAGTTCCCGATAGCCGTGATGGTCCTGAACACTAAAGCGCTGTTTGCCATTCCTCCAAAGTTGTTGTGGAAAAAGTCTGCGAAGTGCCTGCGCAGGGGCTGACCCATGTTGTGCTCAAAGATGCAGATAGAATTTCTAAACCTGACCGGGAGTGGGGCATCAATGTAGCGGTATGTGTCCACGTAGGTCGCCTGATAAGGACAATCTACTCCACGGACGAGCTCGTGGGCAAAGCGCCCAATGCCGATACTTGAATCTAGGAACTTGGTAATAATCATCCCTGGAGTCACTGAACCGTACACCGACATAGCCTCCTGTACGCTCAGTTCATACGCGATCCTTTCACCCTTGAAACGTACATCAAACACCTTCATGCCGGTGAGAGAGCTCAGTCCGAAAGCGAAGCTCCAGTCCAGGTACAGGACATGGTTGTTGCTGACGCTGTATCGCGCCCCCTCTGAGTAAAACTGCTGCGGGCCGATCTGCAGAGGCTTGCTCCTGGGCTTGAGAGAGCCATAGTCAGGCGACTCTTTATAAACGATTTTCTTAACTGACCCATTATCATATGCGCGTTGAAGTTCTTCTACAGAGTCAAAATATTTGCCGTTATAAAACAATTTCTCTATTCTCCACTGTGACATGTTTAGGCTTTCGTGGTGAAGCAGAATTTCGAAGCCCACCGGATGGATGTACATGCCACTCATATCCCTGAAGAAAGACACCCAGGTTTTTCTGTCCCCGGACCGAACTCCGCGAGGCATCTGCTCGAACGCGTTCAGCGTCTTTTTCTTGTCTACCCCAAAGCTTTCTCGAAGGAGTTTCTCTAACTTGGAGAAGATCTCGGTTTCAAATAAACGAAAAACCAAGACGTACTCCCCAATGGTGACCGGACGCGCATTAATGGGGACATCCACCTGATACCTCTCTTTAGTCACATCTCTGTGGTATGCTGGGTTGTCGAGAGGTCCCACTACATATTCCTTGATATAGCCTTTTGCGCCGTGGAAAACCACTGCCGTCGCCTCTCTCACCGGTTTGGTGCCTTTCTCGTCCAGGTAAGCCAGCACCTCTGCTTTCTTTGGGAGCGACAGTTCTATTAAGAAGAGAAAGTTTTCAGATGGCTTTGTGATCTGGCTGGTGGATATAGCCAGGTCTTTTTGTTTGAGTAAATACTGCTGGACCTTCATATACTCCTCCCGGGTGAGGTCAGCGAACACAAGGGTGCGGTCGTCGTGTCTGCCTCGCAGCGGGTGGATGCGTTCACGGGAACATTTGGGTGCCCTGCTGGAGTGGATGCCGATGAGGACGATGTTCAGAATAAGGGAGAGAAGCCCTAAAAGGACCAGCGCCCATTTTGCCAAAGGGTTCATCTTTCCCTCTACCATCATGCGCGCTTGGAGCGAGAGCAGAGGAATGCGCTCTGGGTAGGAAGGACTGTTCACACAATCTAGAAGAGGAGAAACGACCCTCTTCAGTTTTCCCAGCCCCCTATGCACGGATCTGATTACCTCCAGCCCCTCTTTCCTTATTTCTTTGAGCTGCAATGAAACGGTTTCATCGACCTACTGTTCAAATCCTCCTACAAACAACTGAGTATTTAAAGATTTCACCATTTTACATAAAAAAAGGTTTTGTTTGCAGGTTTTGTTCTCAGTTTAATGATGAACATTGTACATAAGCTGCTAAATATGTAATTGCACACATTGAATGTGTAAGATATGAGCAATCATGTTTGCTACAGTAATGCTGTGTTTATAATTTTGTTTTGTTTTTTTAAGAAATATGCAAAATATGTTTGTATTGGTATATTTTATGACAGTAAACATAAGAAGACCACTGCCCACTTTTTTTAAAACACATTTAAGTCAACAATCTAATTCAGCTGCCAAATAATAGAAACCAAATACTGAATTAGCTAAAACTTAAGTGAGATTAGCCAAACTCATTATTTTACTACCCCATAAAAAAGTACTGCATATTACTTAATGTGATTAGTGTAACATT